GCCTGTTATTTCTTTTTGTTTGATCTCTTTATGTTACTGCTTAGCTGGCCGCCCACTTAAGGGCATACTTGTAATTATTTTAACATTAATTTTTAGTAAAAGGGATTAGAGAAGAAAGGGAAGGATTATTCGAACCTTTCTTCTTCTTCCTCCTCTTTTCTCCATTTTCTTCTCTTGTACTGCTGCTCTTACTTTTCTTCCTCCTTTTTCTCTCTAATTTTCAAGTTTACACCTATTTTTGAGGACTGGTTTACATCTCTACAACAGAGGCAAGCATTACAATAGCATAAAATAATACAAAAATAAACCATAGCAATATATTAATAATCTAAACAGTGTTGAACAATCATTTTCAGTTTGGTGCATGCCATGGTCGCCTCTTATGATCATAACGCCCTCCTAAGTGACAGAGGTACTTGCCTCACTGAAGACCAGACCATAGGTGTTAACATGGCAGCAACTTGTGCCATGACATTTCACAAGCCCATGGCCTTGGCACTCTTAACACCAATCAAGAAACTGTAGTTTGGTACTATAGTTTATATCCATGTCATAAAGCTTCTGACAGGACAAACTTAAGCAAAATTTATTAACGATCTCATTTTTAGGTAACCATGGAGGTCCATGTGAAGCTATGATGCACCTTGAAAGTTGTCATTTCCATCACATGCAACACGTACCACTTTGCACTTAACGAAGATTCAGAGAAATTCCAGTTACATTGTAAATCAGTGAACCTAACCTTTGGATTTTTTTTTTCAAAAGTGGCCACCCTCAGACTTAAAAATGTGTTCTCATACTTAGGCATTAATCTATATTATATGAAAATTATCATCATCTAAGTCTTATCCCAACTATATGGGGTTGGCTACATGAATTCTGTTTTTGCCATTCCACATGGCCTTTGTCATTTGCCCCTAGCCCTTCTAGCCCCTTCAACTTGCAATAGATTGCTTCTTGCTACGGGTGCAATAGCTTCTATGCACATAGCCACACCATTTAAGTCTATTTTCTCTCATTTTATCACCTATTGGAACTACTCTTGGGTTCCTTTGAATGATTTTATTTCTGACACTATCCTTTCTAGTTTTTCCACTAAGCCATCTCAGAATATGCTTTTCTACCACACTTTTTTTGGATATTATATGAAAATTATACTGACATACAATACAATATTGATAATTTTTTCATTACTAACATATTCTTACATAAAACACTTGTAATCGGAAACCAAATTTGCCTTTAAACCTCAAAATTAACAAACATCCTATAAAATGGGGCTTCGATAATTTTCAGACTGCTCAAAGAGAACTGAGTTTCTAACCATGGATGAAATTTTTGCATGAAGCTAGCATACTTCTTCTGTATTCTACATAAACATACCTCTCCTGTCCCAAGTGGTTCAGATGTATGTTTCCCTCTTTCTGTCTGAAGTAAAACCATACATGTATACTCAGATGGAATGCCAGTTTGTAAGCTCATTTTAGCAACCTGTGAGGTGAAAGGAAATGGCTGAAAAAATTGCATCCACCATTAAGCAAAATACTGAAAACTAACTAGATCAACATGCAGACAAAATGACAACTAGGCTTCTACTGGTCAACCAAATGGCTTGCTAGTGAGCACAAAATTAATTTTAGCTCATTCTTATCATTCACATTTTAAGCCAGGACAGCATATGACACAAATAAGACTGCTTATCAGAATGACCAAAGTACCCCAAACATGCTGCTCAGTTGGATTTCTAAGTTCCTGTCTGTGTTCTTAGCATTTGTTAGGATGGCACTAACATCAAGGAACCAGAGAAGTGAGGTATGTTATACATAGGACATCCCAAAGGGTAAATAAAATGATAGCCCAACCTCATGATCTTGACTACCTGATCCATCTCAACCCTTTGGAGATCCAAAAAAGATTGCTGCTTGGTCCCCTCCCTCCAACAACAACGAAAGAAATGAAAAAAATGGTCTAATAACATTACAAAATCTGGAACACATACATACCACCATAGAGTTTCTGCACTCTTTCGTTAATTTTCTGTGTTCTTTCTTTTATTCTTCCTCCCAATTTTGTGCAGACTTAAAGGACAAAAGCAGTGTATGGCAGCACATTTTATGTATATTGTAATAATTTTGGCATATGCTTATTTTATGTTTATTTCAGTTTTCAGCACATTCATCAAAAACAAGAAAGGTGGATAACAGACCTTATCTTCAAGAGGTTTACTTTCTGAAAACCATGCTTGGGCTGTGAGCATACCAATTTGTTGCTTTGCAAAGACCTGTACAGAGAGGCAATAATTGAAGTCCAAAAATATAAATATTTGTACCTTGTCCATTCAAAAAGTATCAGTTGTATTCAACTTATAAGAGGTGTCAAAAAGCAGGTATTTATTTATTTTTTGATAAATGATAAAAATTTTATTAGAGCATAATTAAGTATCACATGATTACAAAGTACATCCAGCGGAGGTGCGAGATGCAGCCCCAACCATATAAACTGATATTACAACTGAGCCCAGAATAGTTCAGACCTATGCACCCCCTGTTTTGCAAAAAAATCAGCAATCCCGTTAGCTGACCGCCTTTCCCATTGGACTGAAATTGTCATATCTCTGACCAGCCACTTAAATCTTTTCATATATTCTTTGTATTTCCAAATTACAGTTTCAGGTTCCTTCAATCACCCTATTACCAAAGAGTCCCCTTCAATTAACAGTCTATCATAATTTAAATCTTTAGCAATCTGTACTCCCTGCAAGACAGCTTGGAACTCTGAAAAAACCGAGTCCCCTATTCCAGCTGGACCTGAAAACACAGCAACAACATGACCATCAAAGTTTCTAAAGACTCCCCCTATAACAGCCGGGCCTGGGTTCCCTAGGCTGCTGCCATCAAAATTCAGTTTGATGAATCCTTCATCTGGTAGTTTCCAGCCCATAACAGGTTTAACCCTTGTTGCAGAACCTCTACCTACGACTTCCAAATTTCTCCACATATCATCAAAGGAGAATTCACAACATAACTTTAGGGACTTGGCCCACATTAAAGCTCTATATAAAATGCAATCCAGAACTGCTTCCTTATTTTCTTTCTTTATCATTGAACACTCTGCCATTCATTTCCTCCCACACCATCCAAATCAATGCAGCCATAATACATCTCCACAAAATTTTACCCCTTCTCTTTGGCCAACTTAAGGTTGTTGGTTCAAAGAGACTTTTCATCTGAGTAGGCAAGCTCCACCTGTGACCAAGAAGTTCAAAAAGTTTTTCCCAGAGACTAGCAACAAAAGGGCAGGACATCAGAAGATGGTAGCAGTTTTCTCCACTTGCTTTACACAGGGTACACCAGTTAGGGGACAGGCACATAAAAGGTCTTCTTTTTTGCAAAACATCCAGTGTTTATTTTCCCATGGAAAACTTCCCAGCACAAGGCCCCGACCTTGGGAGGAATAGGTTTAGACTAGATTTCATCAGCAGGGCAAGGAAGAGAGTTCAGGTTTGAACACAAGAAAGCGAAGGAGGCACAAGAAAAAAGACCTTTGGGATGTGGAATCCAAATCCGACCATCTGATCTAGAAAAATCCAGGACAACAGAATCAAGAATTTGTAACAACAAGGTTGCCCTTTCTGATTCAAGGTCCCTTAAATTTCTTCTTAACCCTAAGTTCCAGCTGAATCCAGTCAACTCAGAGAGGGAAACAAAATGAGAGACAGGTTCTTTTTTAAACAAAGAAAGAGAAAACAAAGAGGGGAACAGATCTTTAAGGGTTGAATTATCTCCAAAATAAACATCATACCTGATTTGACTTAGGAACTGAGGAAGCACTCCACAAATAGATTTCCAAGGAGAAGCCAAAGTAGCCCTCAACGATACCCCAGCATCCCAACCATTGCCTACAGAACCATGGATACTACCAATCATCTCTTGCCACAATCTTCCCCTCTCCAGATTCCACCTCCAAAGCCATTTACCTAGTAAAGAGGATTTTTTCTTGTTTAAGTTTCCTATGCCTAGTTCCCCTTGATCTTACTTTTATACTTTTACACACTACATCCCATTTGATCAAATGATCCTTTCTACCTTCCCCTGGCTCCCACAAAAAGTCTCTCATCAGCTTTTCTAGCTTCATCACTTTCCTCCGTGGCATTCTAAACACCAATAAATAATAGGCTGGCAAATTTGCTAATGTGGATTTGATTAGGGTAATTCTACCTCTCATCGAAATATAATTTCTCTTCCAAGCAGCCCAATCTCTTTGAACACCTTTCCACAACTGGGTTCCAAAACCTGCTTTCTTTTGGATTGTCTCCTAGTGGCATCCCAATGTATCTTAAGGGTCGAACAGTTATCGGGCAACCTAAAGACTTAGCTACTTCCTCGAGCTCCTCCTGCTTCAAATTTATTCCTGCCACACAACTCTACTCAAAATTTGTTTTCAACTTAGAAATATGTTCAAACAACTTGATCACCTCCTTCAACTACCTTGCCTTTAATGGATCCCCACCCTCACAGAAAATAATTGTATCATCTGCAAATTGTAAGTGTGTCACCACTGTATTAAGCCTGCCTACTCTCCACCCTTTAAAGAGGTCCATCATATCTGATCTTAGGAGGAGTCTACTAAACACATCCGCTATTAGGGTAAAAAGGAAGGGGGACAGGTTTTCAAACAACCTTCAATACATCCACACCATCTTTCCCCAAAACTATAGCATTTCAATACTTCCAACAGAAAAATCCAGTCCACCATGTCATGGGCCTTCTCCAGGTCTAATTTACACATGAAACCTTTTCTCCTCCTCCTCTTATAGTCCTCCACACATTCATTGGCTATCAGAATTTGATCGGTAATTTGTCTACCTTGAACAAAGGCCCCTTGAGATTGTGTAACCACATAATGGAATTGAGGAAATATCTACCAATACTGGTACCACCATGGATGTTTCTTGACTCCTCAAAGAAAAAGGAAAAAAAAAGTATGAATGTTCCTTGTCTTCTCTGTCTATCGACAGTTCTTTCATGTGTTAGTGCATACTCTCTGAAATATTTTGCAGGAGATGGGTGGATATGAGTGGATGTAGACCTATGTTACCCAGATACAGCAAGGAGATGGGTGGATATGGTATTGGATATGAAATTTGAACTAAACTTGAAGTACCCAACATGATATAGTACCCTTTAGCAGGTATTTGGGTACCTGACATTGCGGGATTAAATTTAGATGAGCCAAAATTTACAAACCCTCTACGGTCTATGAATATCCTACAACAGGTTGCACCTACATCATACAAAAGGTGATCAGTCTTTAAAAAACCAACTCGGAAACAAAAACACTTTTCCCTTTGTGCAGTGGTTCAACTGTCCAGGGTCAAACAAGTTAGCCCATGACGCTATTAATTATACAAAGATCATATAAAATACATAAAAATGACAAGAATATACAGAAAATTACAGAAAAATTGGGTATATCTATAGTATTATGTAGTCATCGTATTAAACAAAAATGTGTAAAAATAAGAATTATTGTTATTAATGATGGAAATGACTACAAATACAGAAAATGCAAAAAAAAAGACATATGGATATTAGGTTTTTAGGGTTTGGATGCAAGCTCATAAAAATAAAGAATATTTTATAGTTAAAAGGTTTACTTTCTAACTATAAAATAAATGTGTAATGCCAAAACTAGATAGATATTCTGCCTAATACCAATGGATTTTGGACTTTACATCTTCAAATAAAATGAAAGAAATTATAATGGTAATTTTAATCAATACTAACAAACAAAAATATGTACATAAATAAACATGAAAGAGTAAAGGCTGAGTATGCCACGATTGTATTCTGTGCAACATTGATATAGTTGGACTTTATATTTTCAAATAAAACCAAAGAAAATACAATAAAGTTAACCAACAAATTAAATGGAAACCTTACTTTGTCAAGAGGGATGCCCTTTGCTTTTTGCACCTTCAAATCTATTGTTAAGTTGCTCATGTCTCCCAAAATACCTCCAAGTGTAACAGTGTCAGGAAAGTTCCCTTTGTATCTGCCTGACACAGTCAATGGGCTTCCAGATAAAAGGTCYGGAAGATGATATGGATATACCTGTCAGATGATTGAAAGAAACTTAAGTAAGAGAACAGGCTTTGTAGGTCAGAGAATATGTCAAAATAGAAAAATAAAATGAGATTCAAGGTTAACTAAATTTATTGCATTTCATTAACACACATTAATAGCTCTTTTCCAATTTTTACATCCTTGCAAATCATCATAAAGGAAAGACAAGTGAACTCTTAGGGGAAAAAAAAGACGTGCAAAAAAGCAGCAATAACAATAGCAACAGCAACAGCAACAGCAACAACAACAATAATAAGACCCCAATAAATACTTGATATGAATCATATGATACCCATCCAATCCAGAATGCAGTTGATAAATCACAAGTGGTATGTAGTACAAGTACAACCAACACAAAAATATGCAAGCAGCATCTTTTTAGAAAAATAAGGAAATTAGATAGCTTACTTCTCAACCAGAATAATTGGAGATAGATATCTGTAGAATGATTACAAGTTACTAGATAAAGCAGATATATCTAAACAGACATACCTCAAGTGTGTCAAGATTCTCCAAAGCATCGATGATAACATTTGAAAGAATGGGAGATGATGCTGTGGTGAGTAGTTTTTGTAGTTGAAGTTCAATTGAATCTGTGCAGATACAACAGAACTAATTAAGTTGGTCAGTGTTCTAAAGTCCCCTTTTATCCAAGACTAGATCTTTCATTGCCATATAGGGTCTGTTCTTTGCCAGTAAGTTTGGGGGGGTGGGGGGGTTGGTCATTGTGGTATGTGGAAGTTGCCCAACTTGGGCCCATGGAAAGTGAACCTCTCTCTCCAGTAAATTTTTCGGCCACTTTCCCAGGTAAGTTTTACCCTTTTCCGAGGTGGGTAAATCACTTACCCATGGAGGAAAATTGGCCAAACTATTGTGGGACTAAAATGCCCCTGCTAGCATGCAAAAGTTAGGGCTCTTTTGGGAAATTGTCTCATTTACCCAGCTAACATTTCCTAACAAAAGAACACGGGTGAATGCATTTAACCGGGGAAACGTTACCCAAGTAACACTTCCTTGGGTAAATACATTTACCCCCAAGTAAACTTCCTGGCAAACAAACAAGGTCATAGTGGTTTAATGAATTTGAGTAGGATGCAGCTTCAGTTAGATTCAACTTGAACAACTGACTCAACCAATTGGAGGTTGTGTTGCAGGGGTGAAAACAAACCAACTTGACTCCAAGTTGTTTATGTTTATGTATGCATTCAAATGTGCGGTGATAAATATAACGAACATTATAACTTGATTGGCTTGGTGATAAGAATTCACATAATTGAGGTAGTGAGTTTGTCTCTTAGACCTAGTTTTCAAGAAATCTCCATATCCACATTTACATAGTATCTTTTCAAACTAAATTGGAGACCATGCTGCACCCAGACCTTCCCACTGGATTAAAGCTAGTTGAGCAAGCCTCCAGCATAACCTGACCCAAGTTGCCTGAATTTTGAGCACTGAAAAGCTCATGCTTGATAAACTGAATTCTCCTGGACTTGTAAACAGAATGAATCAAGTGTATTTATTCTTTTCAAAAAAAAAAAAAAGGAATCAAGTGTATTTATGGTTGGAGAGACTTGCATTCAAAAAGCTCAGTCAAAGAAGAGAAAAGGGAAGAAAGAAAAACATATGGCCATTTTGATATGGAGATAGTTGCTTATAAGGCAGAGAAAAACTACCCAAGATAGGGTTTGGTACTTTTTTAAGTAATTCAGTTAAACCATGGTAGACAATCTACTCCTTTCTTGCCCTCAAAAATCAAAACTACGCAAAATGTGCCACCTCAATCAAAACCAACCAAAAATTTATGTTTTATTATGTAATTTTATTTTTTCTATCAAATAGATTTCAATTTTGTAATTTTAAAAATAGAAGGTTTGGCATATTGAAGTGGGCTTATTTGAAAAGGAAAAAGTGTGCAAAACTTGCAATAGGCCAAAAATTCTTCTTGTAGGTGGACTTTCAAGAGTTTCAATGTATTTTGAGGTCATTCAATAGAAGCAAACAATGTTTGGTGACCTTAATTTTATTTCCATACAAGGGCACACTAGGAGAGCTTATCTCCTTAAACTTACATWCTCAATCTTCAGATATCCCTTGTTCAAAAGGGTTATTAGTAAGGCTGTGCCTCCGCTAGCTAGTTAACCAGAAATTTTGAATTTTCACAAATGAACTTAAAATAAATGGACCATCCTGAAAAATCTTCATACTATTAAGTTTGATATGGGTTTTACCTCACAGCATCACAATGACATGAATTTATAAATAAACTTCAAAATGACAATATCTTATTTCAAGAGAAGAGTACTGACCTACATCATATGCAGCACCATAATGACCCCGGCCAATTAGTGCAAGCATTTGCAAAAAGTAATGATTACAGTACAGACCTGGAAGATTATTCACAACATATGTCAACTGGAAATGGCAAAAGAAAAAGCTCTCACTACTCAGTATATAGATTTTCCTTGCATCCAAAGGTTTACATCTGAAATGATTTGCCAATGGGTCAAGCCAACATGATGTATGTCCACCATCTGCTTGTGACATACAGATAGACAAAAGAATAAGTGATCCCCCCTCCCAAACTACATGCAGGATATTGAGGATAGGAGTTCTTATACATTCTATAGAACATCTGAGAAGGAAAAGGGTTGAGAACACCCAATTTATAACTGTTAGCCCAAAATGCAGCTAACCTCAATATATCTACCCATTCTACCAAAAAAAGGCCAAGCTGGTACAAGAACATACTAGCAAGAATTTATGTGCTACCAAATGTTACCAGAATAGATTGAGGCTTGGGCCTTGCTGGACTCTAAAGCTAAGCTTCATTCAGGCACCCATATTGTTAGGCCCAGCGGAGGAGAAGACCCAAGCGGTGCAGCTCAGGCCCATCAGGCCCAGGTGCCAGTCCAGAATAACCCAAGGATCACGCAAGTAACACCACCCATCACTCTTGTATACAACCAACGTCCACGTTTTGAAAATTAATCATGTACTGAGAACATGCACTGAGAAATGTCAGAGTCGGTTATAGTGGCAGCTGGCCATTTGCTATATAGGCCCATTCACGAATGCATGAAGCAAGAAGAATCATTGGGATTCTCTCTCTCTCTCTCTCTCGTCTTCTACCTGTCGTTCATTTCAGGAGGGCGAGCTCCCTCGAACCAGCTCACCGGTGACAGAATAGCAGCGGGACTTATCACATATAACCATATAATCCAAAGTGAACCATGATTATGGTGGCAGTGCAGATGAAGACTTATCACAAGATCTACAGTCAGTTAACTTCTGTATTCACCCTAACAGAAAAAGGAGGCATTGGATATAATTTTCCTTGATCCTTTGGTCATTAATCTTATGACCCTCTCCAAAAATAACAAGAATACCTGGTGTTTTGGTGCCAGATATGGGTAGCACTACATAGGTTTCCAACTATGGTCTGCAAGTTATTCAAGAAAGTCAACTATGAGCCAGGCACTTCTTCTATTCACTTAAGAACATCTTTAGTCAATATGCCAACCATAGTTCTCAAGGCACTAAATCAAGTTTGAGCAACAGCAGAGAGCCTTGTTGCCTAGGCATCTAGTATCCACCTAGACATTGTCTAATAGTACCTTTGGAGGGAACTATCCACAAGTCGTCTCATATTTGACTCTCCAAAATACATCTCAGAGTCAGCTGCAGTGTGAATCAGGCAGATTTGCCAAAATTCCTGCTGCATTGACTCTCCAAAATTAAGAATCCTCACTTTAACCACCTCTATGTAACAATGGTCCAACCGTTTAAATTGTACAATAGGGGGCTCTACCATTTGAATGTAATTTAACTATTTAAGTTTTGTGTGTGTCAAATAAAAGGATATAAGAAACAAACATATAAAGAGATGGGGACCCTTGTTATTTTAATGCAACAAAAGGTATAGAGGAGAGAAATGTGGGTGGTTTAATTGCACAGAAAAAGAACAAAGGAAGTGGCAAAGCTTACACTTTTAAGTTGAAGTTTGGTCTTTTATAAGGCACTTTTATCATACATTGGCTTAGCTGCATTACACTTGAAGTATTTCACCTTATATATGGAAACACCAAGGCAAGGCACAAGGCAATCCAATTAAAATGCTTTATTACCTATACATTGCCCAGGCATCATGTTGACGCTATGCACTTTGTTAGTGTACGGGTCTATTAATGCGTTGAACAGGGCTGGCTTTTGGGTTTAACTAGATCACAGTAGAGGCCGGTTTGATTTTCCATGGGTAATTGGTGGGTATTTAAACGTAGTCTAACTGCCTTGTGAGAAGCAGGTCTAGCTGGGAGATTTTTTTTGACCTATAACTGATTTTGCAGATTTTATCAGATAAAATGAACCAGTGGAATCAGTCTTGAAAGACAGCTGCTTCACCCGGTCCTATAACCAAGAAATCCCAAATGTTGGTAGCATTGACAGATTTTCAGTTTACCCAGATTTGGAATCCCACTTCCCTGATGCCTGCCAAGAAAAATTATGCAACAGGCTTTCTGATTGCAAAGCCATTCTTCTTAGGTCTTTCCCTTCTGTCAGATTAAGAGATCCTTCACATTTGAGAAGATGGGATTCCTTGATGATGATCTTATTCCAATGTTTGAAGAGAAGTATATTCTTTCCTTGTGATGGAGGGAAAAAGGAGACTGAGGAGAAAATAATAGCATTCAAGAGCAGAAAATTCACTTTCTCTAATAATGGCTGAGAGAAAGGTTAGAATGAGCTAGATTGGCTATAGATGAGGAAACTCCTTGGAGTCAAAAGTCTAGATCTAACAAGGCTTATGGTGGAAAAAACTCCAAGTTTTTCTATGCTTAAGCTAACTTCAGGATAAAGGTTTCAGAGTTGTTGYTAAACTATTTTCAGATGTCATATGCTTCCTGGATGGTCTTAAGTTTTTAATATGAAAATTTTCAAGGCAACTTGGAGCTTTTAGAGATGATTTGATGAGTACTTTTTCTGAATTCTACAACATAAATCAGATCTTGCTTCTATAAAAATTTTATTTCTGTATCCCAAAGGAAGCATATGTGGAGAAGGATCTCAAGGATTTTTTGCTATTAGTTTGACAAGTAATCTTTAGGGTGGTGGCAAACTCAAAATGTTCAAATCACCAGGATAAAGGCTGATATTGAAAACATTTTTCAGAACTAGAAATTAAATGAATATCCAAGGTGAGATCCTTTTATGTAACTATTGCTAGAAATAGAACAGAATCTTAGGTCTGGTCTTGCCGAAGGTTGAGACATTTATATGGCTTGCCTTCCTTGGCAAGGTCCTCACAGTAGATCACTTGAATGATAGAGGCCTTAGAATTCCAAATAGATATTGTATGTGCAATGAAGTGGAGGAACTAGTGGGCAATTTGTTTCTCTCTCTTGTTCATAGACTTTTCTACCCTGAAATTTCTTCACCTCTTTACAGTCTTCATTGGGTTTTTTTTTTCAGCCTTGGTTAGGAATGTTATCTGATCATGGCCTTCAATCTCGGTGGACGCAAGAGGTGGTTCTTTTATGTGTATGGTTCCTTATGCCATTTGTTGAAGACTTGGAGCATTTCAAAAGAAAGGAATTATAGAATCTTCAAAGGAAAAAAGAGAGATAAAGAGAGATTTTTTATTCATCTATGTACTTGTGTAAGTAGGTTCATTGTAAACTAGTAATTGACTCTTGAAGAATTTGGTGCTTTTTTCCTAGGTATGATTTTATACTTAATTGGCATACAAATTTGGGTGTAGAGGGTGGTACACTGTAAAGCAGGCTTTTTCCTTTGCCTTCCTTTGTGTCCTCATAATTTCTATAAATAAAATTTTATTACTTGATTAAAAAACAAAAGTAGCAGGCATTTGTTTTGGAATGTATAGAACTGATGAAGAACAATTTTAGCTAAGAAATGTTAATATATTGCAAAGTATATTATCGCATGTATGTACTATATAGAATATTCTTTTCTATAACAAATTAACAAGGTCAACAAGAAGTGGAACCTAAGCACCAGAAATCTTTACCTATACCAAATGTGGAAATGCGTGGTGATATGGATTCTCTACTTGKCAGTTTGGCTTTCATAAGCTCACATATGTTTCTTTCATCCTCAACAGACCCATCAGTAATGAGGAAAATCATAGGAAACAAATCAAAAGTGTTGGATAACATATCAACTGCCTGAAGAGAAAACAGATGAAACAAAAAACATAGACATTAAATTTGGAGTTGATATTAATGAAGACTTGTTATGATAGGACTAATAATTTGGCAACTGGAAATAAATATGAAGTGAATAATAAACATGAGACTATAATTGCTTAAAATGTGCACAATGTGTAACAATAAGGAATATTCTTATCAATCCAAAGCAAACTTGTTGACAAATAACCTCTTAACTTAACCATAAATGTGCACAATTCTACTTTCATATCCTTTCCATTTAACACATTTGGTTTCATTGCTGATCAAAAGAAAATAACATATTCTTAAATATTTTATATTCTAAATGATGAACAAGATCTACAAATGACAAAGCAATTTTACTAATCAATGAAGGACTAAGACCCATCCAAAAAAATGCAGTTTGTGGATATAGATATTCATCACCATGAAACATGCAAAAAGGAAAATGTCAGTTCATTTTCTTTTTTTTTTCCATTTTATTGAAAAAACATTTTTCCTTATGGGTGCAAGCTTGTATGTTACAACAGTGATTCTTAATAACTCAATGAAATGCTAAAGCAAATTCAAAGAATTAAAAAGAATTAATAGTTAACTTTTGAAATGTCAATAATATCAACAATAATCAAGGCTCAAAAAGGATACAATACCTGATTTAAGGGAAGCAGAAGGTTTGTTCCACCCCTCGAAACAAAGTTTATACTGATCCACTGAGAAGCATTTTCAATTGTTTCTTTTGTTGCTCTTTCCAGTGAAGATGAGAATAAATACGTCTCTCCATTGAAAGCTATGATGTTAAAAGTGTCTTCTGGGGTGAGCTGGTAGAGTGCTGCACATAGTCCATTTTTCACACTCTCAAGGGACCTTCCCAACATGCTTGCACTAATATCAACAACAAATACAACCCCCTTTCTGAAAACCTACCAGGTCCATTATAATCAGATTAAGATAAACATGATAAAACCTGAAGATAAACTAACTGAAGACTCGTAAATTTTATAAAGGTTGTAATATCATGATCCTTGGGAGTATAAATATTTATCCTCCAGGAGAAGTCAACTCAAGGGAAATCATCAGCTACAATTCTTTTCTATTCTTTATTTTCTAAATTCTGATCAAATTGGAAATACATGTTTCCCTGTTTTCTAGAAACAGATATAACACTTTGCACCTTGGAGGATGATGAAAATTTCAAAATTTCATTCTACAATGGAGAGCAATATAATTTTTTAAGTCCTCACTGTGCAGTTGTTGCTGAAAATCAAACTTATATCATAGAATGATCTGACCATGTAGTTGGAATAAGAAAGTTGATACAGGACTTTGTTGATTTGTATAAAGAGTATGCACAAAAAACAATATAATAATCATAAACTTAGTTAATTTTTCTAGATAATAGGGAACATGCATAATTAGGAATACTGGATGAGTAATCTATCTTTATGCACAGATAAAAGCATAGCAGATCCCTTAGCAATGTTAAATTGATACATTTGTTACCAACTAATCATAAAGATTTATTTTTTTTTTTTTTTGAGAGAGAGAGAAGATAACCGATCCTAGAGATTAAGCAGGTGCTATGCAAACTAGCATGTTCAGCAACCAAGTTACTACAATAAACTGCTATTTTAGTGTTTCTTTTCTTTTTTTCAAAGAAGACAATAAAGAGAAGGATGTAAACATGAGAGGTTGTACAACAATATACAAGAAACAGCAAGCATTTTTTTAATAGCAATTTTGTTTTAGGTGCTTGAATTAATAGTTTCTTTTGTGCAACGGAAGAAGCCAATGGCTTTATAGCAGGCATTCTAAAAGGGAAGCCCAGTGGACAAGGCTCCCACCAATGTGGGGTCTGGGGAGGGACAGATATATGCAGCCCTGCACATACATAGAGGCTGTTTCCAAGATTTGAACCCTGATCACCCAGGTCATAATGGAGCAACCCAGCCGTTGAAATGTTATTTGACCCGGGTCACCTGGGGTCTAGCGAAATATAAGTTGTCCATAATGTATAGATTGTTATTGATTTACTGAAACAAAAGAATATTACATCAGCCCATGCACATCAGGGCAATGTACAAAGAGGATATACAACGATCTCCACATCATTCACCACTATCTATACAAAAAGAGTCTCTTTCAACAAAAAGAATTATAAGATAAACCTTTAAAAAGTTCTAAACCAAGAAATTAACATTCCCTTGTTTTCCAAGTTACAAATTTTTAAATTAATAGAATAATGATGAGGCTAGATCCTTAGTCCTTTATGCACATAGTTGGTGGTGCAGACCATTTCCCAAGGAAAGGATATGTGCAGCACCTTAAAGAAATTTCATAGAAATGGACCAGAAAGAGGAATAAGAGAGACCCCTCAATGATAAAATCAAAGAATTTCACTGACTTTAAAAATGAAAGAGAACATGACTATTTATAGAGAGAGAAGGCTCTCCTTCTAAGAAAACCCTAATCTTAGCTTGTTACTTAAGCCACCCTATAAGTCAAAATAAGAGAAACAAAATTAGAAAGACATACACATAATATCTCCTGAGCCTAAATACCTGGATACTGAACATACTCAGACCCAATTAGCAGGGTCTGGGCCCACAAATTATGACTGAGTGTAACTGTGGTCCATATGTTAAGACCTGCAAGGTATTGGGCATGACTTGGACCCAGTTAGCAGGTAGCCAGAAAACATTTTAAAGTATATGGATATTGAAATTTATTGAAGGGAAGAAAAGAAAATCCACTTTTTTTGCCTTTTATGTCTAATTGAAGACATGCAATAAAGCTTGGATTTTAGACTTGCTAATTTCTCCACATTCTGATTAGTTCCAATTATTTGGTGTGTCCAGGTCCAGGTTTGAACCCAACAAGATCCAAAACCAACGCATCTAATAGGGTCTTGGTCAAGGTATATATGAAACCATCCATTGGCCTGACCTGACCTACTGACACCCCTACTAGTGATCAATTTTAAATTTTTTGAAAGACTAGAGGGCCATTAGCCAATGTTGCTCCAAGTTATCGAGGTTCTTGGGAGAGGTCAACTGGATATGGACCTGACCATTGGCATTTTTTTGGCACAAAGTGACCACTGTTGGATTCAATCCATGTTCACAAAATTTAATGGGTTATATTCGTATTTCATAATCCTTATGCTATAACGAATATTGTGTATGGGTATTGACAAACAGGCATAGCATATAATGAATATTGCATATACAATAAACCAACAATGCATTCCCATACTAGAAAATACATCATATATATGCAAATACACCCAATGACAGAACCCGAATAGTCAGAGGTGATAGAAGTAATCATTTGATGAACGAAAGCTTTATAAAATAGAGAACAAACCTTTCTATTCTTGTTATTTCCTGGGAAAAGATAAAGGCAGAACATCTCTCTTTGATCAAAATCATGTATGGATGGAGATTGCAGGAACAAGGAACCATGTATATCACTTGAACAGACCTGTGTCATGAAGATAATCATGGGCAGTATGTTGGATTCTAGAAAAGTGTAAAATGAAGGTTGTTCCTCAAAAATTGTTCCATGTGCCTCCAACTCCAACATGTACAGGACACATGCATATATGGTGCAGATAATACTTTTCTGAACAGTAGTGATTCATTTATAGTGTATTTGAAAAACAATATCTATTGTTCAAGGTTATACCTCATATGAAAAAATAAAGTCCGCACTTGACCATGTAAGCACATTTGTTTCATATGAGAAACCCAATTTCCCTGCTTGGCGCCTTATTTCCTGGAGTAACCCAAAAAATAAAGTATCAATTAATTCATTTAGGGACTCCAATGTCAAAGTCCGAACTAATAATTTAGTGGAAATTCACCTTTAAAGGATGGCTAGTTTTCTTGCACAAGACTTCTGCCCCAGTACCAGCGTTCACATTCAACTCTATCTTTTCTCTTTTGGGAAGTTTCATTCCAGCAGGATTGACATACTCTGGAAAGCTGAACGGTACATGAAGCAAAAACTGACCACATTTGTATGATAACTTTTGAGACCAAACGACTTTAACAGACAGATTGGTCCCTCCATTAACCTTGAAAAGGATGGGAGAATTAGATGCTTTCAAGGATCAAAATCAAAATCATCTTCCCGTTCAAAAAAAAAAAGGATATTAACTAAAAAATCTAGATAACAAATTACCTCCGGAATTGTTAAGGTAAAAATGTGGGGTTTCAAAAACCCTCCATCCTTTGCTTTGGCTACTTTTAAAATGTCTGCCTTTTCTTCTATCGTAATCAATCGAGTGCCATATGATTTTGTAGTAACATCAACTTCAACACCTAGAATTGAACCCTGTTAGCCAAATCATATTTTGGATGTGAATAAGAAATTAAGATTAAGTAAATGCCAAGGCCTAAGAAAGCAAACAGAAATGAATGGTACCACCTATATATACATCATAACATGAGAAAGTCAAAAAAACCCAGAAAGCAAGCATAAATGAATGGTACGACCTATCATATAATGACAAGAGAAGCCAACAAAACATTTTCATCACAAAGAGGCGTAAAGTTACATATTAAAAAAATTATATGCAAATGAAAATAGAAAATAGTTTCTTCTTTCAGAAATCAGCATGTCTTCTTCTTCCATTTTATGCTCAATGAAGAAATCGATACAGATCTTCTTTTATGCTCAATGAAAAAAGAGGCATGAATTATATGCAAATGAAAATATGAAATAGTTTTATTTTCAGAAATCAGCATGTCTTCTTTTCCATTTTATGCTCAATGAAGAAATCGATACAGAGCTGGATAAGCATCTAAATAATGCTCTAAAGCCCAAGTAGACCGGACAGATATGAACTAGGTCCTAATTGGTCCGTTCTAACCATCAACAGAGTACACAGATTTGACCTATGAACTCAAATGGACTAAAACAGTCAGAAATTGACATGGTTGAACCACCGGATCCCTTGATCTATGAGGTTTGCACTCAAATAAACTGAACAGTACAACGCAGAAGGAAGCTGAAACAACTGCAAAACCAATAATTCTACATCGAATGGACAGCCTACTAAAGAATAAGCTCCGCATCAAATATCATGAACCAGCTTCTTTATACCTGCTCGCCCATGGGGACTGCAATGCGGCAGCTACAGCTCCGACTTCCCATAACACAGTGAACACGCCACGACCCGCTAACACTAACAAGCGCAGTATCCAAGTAACAGTCCACTTGAACCGCAATATCGTTCATCTGAAGCGGAATCAAAGCCGGCGGATCGCATAGCCCGTGCACGTAAGGCTGGTAGCTTGGAATGTCCGGGTTATCGACGACTGCGGGATCAGAAATCACCGCATACACCATCGGTGCCGTGGGAAGATGTGTTCGCCGGGACTTCTTCATCGCCGCCGGAAGCGGAGGCAAGACCGGATGGTGTTTCCCATAGTAGAGCCGTTTTGAGAGCCTAAAACCTTCTTCGACGGATTTCGAGAAGTCGTCAGCCATTCGAAAGAATTTTCCCAAGAGAGACGGTGAAGATTGTTTGAGCACGAAGGAGAGGATGTTATTTGAAGGAGCAGAAGACGATGGAGAAGACTGACAGACTGTCCAGAGAATCGCTTCCAATCCAAGGTCGCTCTGATGTTTCAATTAAAATATATATAGCTCATTAGCTCCTGCTCCTCCTGTTTGTGCTTGTGCGTTAAAAAGTAAAAGAAAATAGGATTTTTGGCAAGTGAGTCGTGGACTAGTGGGTTCCGGTCCGGCAGGTGAACGCGCGCTCTCATCGAGTGAATCATGAGCACCACCCTTTCATAACTCATTCATCATTGGTTGGAAAATTTAAATTTTCACAAACTATCTTATCTTATGGTCTATCATGTGAGAGCGCGCTCGTTGGATCAGCAATAATGGACATTTGGTCACATATGAAGATAGAGCAGTTCCAATGTGGCTAGCGACGCTTGGCCAGTTTGACACACGTGGAAATAGGACAGCGGTCCGACAAACCTGGTATTGGTAGCCACGTGAAGGTTAGGTACTGTAGCGGTTTAGCGTACGAGTGAGGTGAGGGACAAATGGTGTGGTGAATGAGGCCCTCTCGTACTACTCTACGGTCCAACAATCCTGTTCCGACAATTTTACCGATCCCGGAAGCTCGGGCCGTCCTGGTGAAAGGCAACGACAGAAAGATTTATCAATATAATTTCATGTGCACATTCTGTTTTGTTTTGTAGTTGGATGCCATGCTCTCACTTCTCAGCGTGTTTGCATAATTTTTGCTTTTATAAAATTTGGGTTTTAGATTTTTACCTCTTTTACAATGGAAAAGGAGTAAAGAAAGGTAAAAATTAAATATTCAAACCAAGAGAATTTTCATCTATCCTATGAAAATCAAATGCAACCTGGAAAAAAAGGTGAAAATGCAATGAATTAGGCCTTTGACAATAGATGTGGTTTTCAGAAAAAAAAAAAAAAACGATAATAGGTGACGTTTCATTTTAAAAAAAAAAAAAGAGATAAAAACAGAAACGGTTCGTTTATGATGCCAAAAAATATATGATATGGGAAAAACTTACAATCAATGAACTGATATCACAACTTTGATTGGTCAAAAGTCAAAACCTTTTCCAGCAAGTGATAAGAAGGGTCCAAGAGTCATGGCTAATCTGAGTCAACCCAGTTCAAATTAAACCCGACCTATTCAACCGGTTTGCCTTGTGACAAGTTCTTAATTAGTCAATTATCCATTGCCCAAGTTTAAAGAAGTATTCCCATTGTTATAATAGGTTTACCACTGTTGTTATTCTAAAACCCTTGTCTGAAACTGAAGGAATTGGGGAATTTGAGAGATGTGGAGGAAAAGAAAACAAAATATGTAATAGAATGTCTGATCATCAGAATCACTTCTAATCGGGTTTCTATCTCTCTTTCTATCGTGGTGATTGATGACAAACTTTTGATTTCTAAAATTAGGAAGCAACAGCCTAAAGAGGGCATATCTCTTCGTTCAAGATTACACATGGGCATGAACAAATAAAATATAATGCTTGTTAACATAAAATAATAAAAGCGTGAGCATCTAAGCGAATGGGATGAATGAATGAATGAATAGTACTGTAACCTCTAACGTAACGTGCAGTGTGAGGTGACACTAGCTAGCTAGCTAGAATCGGATGATTGTGAGTTGTCGTGTGGGAAGACCGACGTGGCGAAAGTGGCTGCCACCAATTGGTTGGCCGGAGGATGGAGACGTTACTACTTTCTACTTTAACCAGCTGTAGCTTTGGCCGGTCGTTTTTCAAGGGTGGGGTGAGGATATTTTAAGTGACGTGTCAAAAAAATTTTCAAATGTTTATTAAACGTGCTTATAACGCTGTGCCGACCAGGTCACGAAAAAGACGTGCTCATTACCTTGTTTGGGGTACTTTGTGTTGTCTGTTGTGTGTGTTCTGTGGATTGCTTGGTTGAAAAGATGCTACACCCATTATTTGTTGTTCTTAACAGTGGTTGTGGCATGTTTGGAAACCATTTCTTCCTAGTTTTAAAACATTAAAAAAAATGTATTGCAACTTTATTCCACGCTAAAATTTTGTAACCATGGATAAATTGATTGATAGAAATATTTTATTTAAAATTTTGCTATCAATACATCCACATCCATATCAAAGTGCCCACGTCACACCTTAACGGAGTGTGGTGCATGTGGTTTAAAATATACATTTGAGCGGTGTTTTGCATTGGTGCCATTTTCTGAGAAAATAGTGTCATATAGGTGCTATGTCAGAGAAAACGGTGTCAGAAGCAACACCCAGTTGTTTGGTACTGTTTTCTCAAAAAAAAATGTTGTTTCAGACCATATCTTGAAAATTGGGAAAGTGTGGTTTGGAGCAATACCAAATTTGATGTTTTCTAGGAAAATAGTGTATTGCTGTCAATGATGCAATGGCATGATATCATCCGATCGTTGGATAATAAGATCAATATTAAAAACATTGTTGCCAACACTAATACCAAACAAAACCAGTATTATTTTATCAAAAAACATTTTTATGGCAACACCGGTTTCAAATAAAAAATAAGCATTTACAATTCTATATGCCTAATACCGTTTTTCTCAGAAAACGATATAATATTTTCAGCACCAATGCCAAACACCTACTTAATTTCCACCACACCATGGTGAAATATTGGAGCCCAATAGATCCAAACACACACCCTCAAATAAAAGGCTGAAATTTGGTGTATCCTCCTAGCTATAAGGAGGCAATGGTCTGGGACAAAACCAGAGTAACAAACTAGGCCGGATTGTATGGATGCTTTCTAGCATCAATAGAAATAGAAGAAAATCAACAAAGGGTCAATTGAACATTTCATTAATTACCACACATTATTCAGTTCTTAATTATGTGCAATAACCCTTAGAATCTTAACAAAAACACTTATGAAGAGGTGAACATGTTTTGAAAATTATACTGAAACTTGATTCTCGCTCAGTTGCTATACCAGGAAGTTGATTTCACCATAGAGATGGACTGAAACTCTGGATTCTGGAATGATAAATATGTCAATCAAAATTTGACTCATCTTACGGATGATGGCCTGTCATGGGGATGGGCTTCAGCATATTCTAAGTATTATTTTTATTGGTAATTAAGGGAAAACTACACAGCTCTCTGTATATATTGGTCGCGGTGGCTTCTTCGTTACGGAGGAGGCTGTTCTTGACGGGTTACAACTGGTGAATTAGATCTTTGATTTTTTTTTTTTTTTTAACTTTTCACTTTGGGAACTAATACAGTACATTATAATCCACCGCAGTCCACCTCAGAAATTTGTGTACTCAAATCCAACAAACAGCTTTGCTTTGATCAAAAGCTAATATATGCTTCTTCTTTTCTTGGCTTTGGCTGCGGAGACCGGAGAAAGAAAGAGAAAAAAGATGTATTAAAATAAAAATCACTGCTTTAGAAAGGACCCTAGATTGGATCGATTCCTATACATGCATTTGGCTCCGCGACAAAAAGGCAAGAATTGTACAACTTCTACTTTTACGTGGATAATTCAATGCAATCAGCTGGGGAGGAATATATGTACTAAAAAGTACAACTTCTACTTCTACTTTTGGTTCAACTTTCATTCTTTTTCATTATTATTGAGATGAAATTTTAAAATAGATAAGAATTATTAAAAATAGGTAGAATGAGAAAATATTGTTATGAATCAAATATTTTTTTCCTAAAAAAATAAGTTTGTACTTTTCTCATTTTAAACGTTTATTTATAATTTTTGACTTTAAAAGTTTCCTGTTTTTTTGTTTGGTTGGGTTTCGCTTTAAATGTTTTCTACTTTCCACTTTAGATTAATACCCATTAAAGTGTGACACATCAACATTTGGTTTCAAAATGTTGAGCCATTGGGGGAAACAAGAATTTGACATTTCCCCAAATGCCTCATATACAAAAATCAAAGTGTTTCAATTTTTTACCATTTATTTGATAAACGATGAAACCAAATGGTTGTTTCATTTTGTTTCATCTGCAATAAACACAACACCTATGTGGGGCTGATGTGGCATCATTTTTTCAATAAACTCTCGTAGAACTAAACACAACTTAAATTATTTTTAAACTAGCAAATGCCTTATGTTACTCATTTTCATTCTTAGAAAAATGTATTAGCAATCATAAACCACTGGCCCGAGTCTCCAAAATAGTTGCATAGATGTTTACCGGTGGATGACCAGAAGTCATTGCCCATTGGCATAAGTTTTCACGACAATCCACCAATAAACATTTATGGCAAGAATTTTATAATCGAACACTCTAATGTTATTCATTCTTGCCCAGAATGAGCAAGAATTAAAAAAAAAAGAGGCCTAGAGCAGCGAACCAAACATGGCCTAAACTTACCCTTTCTTCTCTATTTTCCATATAGATGTATAACATGGCCAATTCGAACATGTCAATTCACTTTCTACAATGTGATTTTAGCTAGTCCTGATTTGCTCCTCGCATAGCACTCTTCACACCAATCTCACAGCATGTTCCAGCCACACATGGAATCATCTCCAATATTTTATATGTTATTATTCATGAGAAGAAATTCCTAATGCATGGTGGGACGCATCGTGAAGAGCAAACCCCAATTGGTTTTAGCTAGGAATGGCAACAAGGTGGGGCGGGGACGGGGAGCCACTCCCCATCTTTGTTCTCGCAACAATCCCCATCCCCATCCCTATCCTTGCCAATGGGGACAAGGTTATCCCCACCCCTGTCCCCACAAGGATCTCCACTCTCCGTTATTTTATAATGTCAATCATTTTGTTTTTCTTTTTTTATTTTATTTAAAAAAATTAAAAATAAAATAATAAAACTTAAAATCCTATTAAAAAAGATTTTAAAATATCAATATATAGAGTATGTATACACATATACATATATAGATATATGCATGCATATATACATTATATATTGGCAAAGATCCCATGGGACATGAAGTGCTCTCCCCATTCCTGCCCCATTTAGGGTGGGTACCCACGAAGATCGAAGAAATGGGGAAAATTGTCATCCCTAGTTTTAGCCCTAAAATGGTGGCCTTGGATGTACTACTGTCCTTAACATAAAGGTGGATTCCTTGAAAAAAAAAAAAAACATCAAGGTGGAACAAAGCAATAAATTGAAGGTTGTGGCCCACGGTTTTAGCCCAAAGTGGGCCCATGGTTCAATCTTGCACTTCACCTTAGGCTGCGTTTGGAAACGATGCAAATGGAGTAGAAATCCCAATTCATGGTAAATTTGCACTCTGGTTCAGTTTTGATTGTTT